TAACAAATCTGCATACTGCGTTTGTTGATGCTGTTAAGAGCTTCGGACTGAAATTATAATAACCAGAAAAAAGGTATAAAAACAGGCAATTTTTGTAAAAATTCAGTGTTTTGCAAACATCATAATTATGCCAATAATGCGTTAATTTCAATTCGGAAAGCTGTTCTGTGCTAGTCTTTATAGCGCTAACAAATCTGCATACTGCGTTTGTTGATGCTGTTCAGAGCTTCGGACTGAAATTATAATAACCAGAAAAAAGGTATAAAAACAGGCAATTTTTGTAAAAATTCAGTGTTTTGCAAACATCATAATTATGCCAATAATGCGTTAATTTCAATTCGGAAAGCTGTTCTGTGCTAGTCTTTATAGCGCTAACAAATCTGCATACTGCGTTTGTTGATGCTGTTAAGAGCTTCGGAGTGAAATTATAATAACCAGAAAAAAGGTATAAAAACAGGCAATTTTTGTAAAAATTCAGTGTTTTGCTAACATCATAATTATGCCAATAGTGCGTTAATTTCAATTCGGAAAGCTGTTCTGTGCTAGTCTTTATAGCGCTAACAAATCTGCATACTGCGTTTGTTGATGCTGTTAAGAGCTTCGGACTGAAATTATAATAACCAGAAAAAAGGTATAAAACAGGCAATTTTTGTAAAAATTCAGTATTTTGCAAACATCATAACTAAGCCAATAATGCGTTAATTTCAATTCGGAAAGCTGTTCTGTGCTAATTTTTATAGCGCTAACAAATCTGCATACTGCGTTTTGAAATTTAGAAAATTCAATTTTTGGTCGAATTTAGCAAATTTTAATGATGTAACCCCTTATGTTTTTTTCAAATTTCGGAAAAAAATGCAAACATTTATTTTGCCACTAGACATGGCTAGATCGATTCAGCTGTTCATTCTGAACAATAATATATATGATTTATAGGGTCGGAAATGATTCCTTCATTGTGTTTTAAGCTTCTGATTAATACTAACCCCTGCAAAAGGTATAAAAACAGGCAATTTTTGTAAAAATTCAGTGTTTTGCAAACATCATAATTATGCCAATAATGCGTTAATTTCAATTCGGAAAGCTGTTCTGTGCTAATTTTTATAGCGCCAACAAATCTGCATACTGCGTTTTGAATTTAGAAAATTCAATTTTTGGTCGAATTTAGCAAATTTGTAACCCCTTATGTTTTTTTCAAATTTCGGAAAAAATGCAAACATTTATTTTGCCACTAGACATGGCTAGATCGATTCAGCTGTTCATTCTGAACAATAATATATATGATTTATAGGGTCGGAAATGATTCCTTCATTGTGTTTTAAGCTTCTGATTAATACTAACCCCTGCAAAAAGGTATAAAACAGGCAATTTTTGTAAAAATTCAGTGTTTTGCAAACATCATAATTATGCCAATAATGCGTTAATTTCAATTCGGAAAGCTGTTCTGTGCTAGTCTTAATAGCGCTAACAAATCTGCATACTGCGTTTGTTGATGCTGTTAAGAGCTTCGGACTGAAATTATAATAACCAGAAAAAAGGTATAAAAACAGGAAATTTTTGTAAAAATTCAGTATTTTGCAAACATCATAACTAAGCTAATAATGCGTTAATTTCAATTCGGAAAGCTGTTCTGTGCTAGTCTTTATAGCGCTAACAAATCTGCATACTGCGTTTGTTGATGCTGTTAAGAGCTTCGGAGTGAAATTATAATAACCAGAAAAAAGGTATAAAAACAGGCAATTTTTGTAAAAATTCAGTGTTTTGCAAACATCATAATTATGCCAATAATGCGTTAATTTCAATTCGGAAAGCTGTTCTGTGCTAATTTTTATAGCGCTAACAAATCTGCATACTGCGTTTTGAAATTTAGAAAATTCAATTTTTGGTCGAATTTAGCAAATTTTAATGATGTAACCCCTTATGTTTTTTTCAAATTTCGGAAAAAAATGCAAACATTTATTTTGCCACTAGACATGGCTAGATCGATTCAGCTGTTCACTCTGAACAATAATATATATTATTTATAGGGTCGGAAATGATTCCTTCATTGTGTTTTAAGCTTCTGATTAATACTAACCCCTGCAAAAAGGTATAAAAACAGGCAATTTTTGTAAAAATTCAGTGTTTTGCAAACATCATAATTATGCCAATAATGCGTTAATTTCAATTCGGAAAGCTGTTCTGTGCTAGCCTTTATAGCGCTAACAAATCTGCATACTGCGTTTGTTGATGCTGTTAAGAGCTTCGGACTGAAATTATAATAACCAGAAAAAAGGTATAAAAGCCGGCAATTTTTGTAAAAATTCAGTGTTTTGCAAACATCATAATTATGCCAATAATGCGTTAATTTCAATTCGGAAAGCTGTTCTGTGCTAGTCTTAATAGCGCTAACAAATCTGCATACTCCGTTTGTTGATGCTATTAAGAGCATCGGACTGAAATTATAATAACCAGAAAAAAGGTATAAAAACAGGCAATTTTTGTAAAAATTCAGTATTTTGCAAACATCATAACTAAGCCAATAATGCGTTAATTTCAATTCGGAAAGCTGTTCTGTGCTAATTTTTATAGCGCTAACAAATCTGCATACTGCGTTTTGAAATTTAGAAAATTCAATTTTTGGTCGAATTTAGCAAATTTTAATGATGTAACCCCTTATGTTTTTTCAAATTTCGGAAAAAAATGCAAACATTTATTTTGCCACTAGACATGGCTAGATCGATTCAGCTGTTCACTCTGAACAATAATATATATTATTTATAGGGTCGGAAATGATTCCTTCATTGTGTTTTAAGCTTCTGATTAATACTAACCCCTGCAAAAAGGTATAAAAACAGGCAATTTTTGTAAAAATTCAGTGTTTTGCAAACATCATAATTATGCCAATAATGCGTTAATTTCAATTCGGAAAGCTGTTCTGTGCTAGCCTTTATAGCGCTAACAAATCTGCATACTGCGTTTGTTGATGCTGTTAAGAGCTTCGGACTGAAATTATAATAACCAGAAAAAAGGTATAAAAACAGGCAATTTTTGTAAAAATTCAGTATTTTGCAAACATCATAACTAAGCCAATAATGCGTTAATTTCAATTCGGAAAGCTGTTCTGTGCTAGTCTTTATAGCGCTAACAAATCTGCATACTGCGTTTGTTGATGCTGTTAAGAGCATCGGACTGAAATTATAATAACCAGAAAAAAGGTATAAAAACAGGCAATTTTTGTAAAAATTCAGTGTTTTGCAAACATCATAATTATGCCAATAATGCGTTAATTTCAATTCGGAAAGCTGTTCTGTGCTAGTCTTAATAGCGCTAACAAATCTGCATACTCCGTTTGTTGATGCTATTAAGAGCATCGGACTGAAATTATAATAACCAGAAAAAAGGTATAAAAACAGGCAATTTTTGTAAAAATTCAGTGTTTTGCAAACATCATAATTATGCCAATAATGCGTTAATTTCAATTCGGAAAGCTGTTCTGTGCTAGTCTTTATAGCGCTAACAAATCTGCATACTGCGTTTGTTGATGCTGTTAAGAGCTTCGGACTGAAATTATAATAACCAGAAAAAAGGTATAAAAACAGGCAATTTTTGTAAAAATTCAGTGTTTTGCAAACATCATAATTATGCCAATAATGCGTTAATTTCAATTCGGAAAGCTGTTCTGTGCTAATTTTTAGAAAATTCAATTTTTGGTCGAATTTAGCAAATTTTAATGATGTAACCCCTTATGTTTTCTTCAAATTTCGGAAAAAAATACAAACATTTATTTTGCCACTAGACATGGCTAGATCGATTCAGCTGTTCACTCTGAACAATAATATATATTATTTATAGGGTCGGAAATGATTCCTTCATTGTGTTTTAAGCTTCTGATTAATACTAACCCCTGCAAAAAGGTATAAAAACAGGCAATTTTTGTAAAAATTCAGTGTTTTGCAAACATCATAATTATGCCAATAATGCGTTAATTTCAATTCGGAAAGCTGTTCTGTGCTAGCCTTTATAGCGCTAACAAATCTGCATACTGCGTTTGTTGATGCTGTTAAGAGCTTCGGACTGAAATTATAATAACCAGAAAAAAGGTATAAAAACAGGCAATTTTTGTAAAAATTCAGTATTTTGCAAACATCATAACTAAGCCAATAATGCGTTAATTTCAATTCGGAAAGCTGTTCTGTGCTAATTTTTATAGCGCCAACAAATCTGCATACTGCGTTTTGAAATTTAGAAAATTCAATTTTTGGTCGAATTTAGCAAATTTTAATGATGTAACCCCTTATGTTTTCTTCAAATTTCGGAAAAAAAAATGCAAACATTTATTTTGCCACTAGACATGGCTAGATCGATTCAGCTGTTCATTCTGAACAATAATATATATGATTTATAGGGTCGGAAATGATTCCTTCATTGTGTTTTAAGCTTCTGATTAATACTAAGACAGCAAAAAGGTATAAAAATTAACGCATTATTGGCTTAGTTATGATGTTTGCAAAACACTGAATTTTTACAAAAATTGCCTGTTTTTATACCTTTTTTCTGGTTATAATAATTTCAGTCCGATGCTCTTAACAGCATCAACAAACGCAGTATGCAGATTTGTTAGCGCTATCGAAGCTAACACAGAACAGCTTTCCGATTTAAAATTAATGCATTTCTGGCTTAATTATAATGTTTAAAAAACGTTGATTATTCAAAAAAAAATATCGTGTTTTTATACCTTTTTGCGGGGTATTAGTATTATTCAGAAGCTTAAAACACAATGAAGGAATCATTTCCGACCCTATAAATCATATATATTCTAGATCAGAGTGAACAGCGGAATCGATCTCGCCAGGTCTAGTGGAAAAATACATTTTTGCAAAATTTCAAAAATAGATAAGGGTTACATCTTAAAAATTGCAAATTTTAATTTTGAATTAAAAATGCTAATATTATATTATATTTATTTTTATTTTTAAAACATCGAAAGGATCGATGTTTGTACAAAATTGAACCTAGTTTACGTGTAGTTTCAGTTCAACAGCCTTTTGGGGTTGCCAGTTACACTTCGAACGTCTCCCTCTTAAAATTTAATATAGCATTAAATATTAAACAATTCGATAATCTGTTTGAATATAAGGACACAAATCATGCCAAACACCAAGGAAATGGGGACGGATGCCAATCTGGAGGAGAAAACCGCAAGGCTAAACAGCCGCGATAGTGCCGTGTAAGTTATGGGTCCGTCTTTTTGTTTTGTTAAAACCTGGTTGCTGGAATCCTGAAACAGACTGAAGGACCTCATGAAGAAACGCCTTACGGAATGCGGATGGCGAAAGGATATTGAGCAAATGATCCGTCAGACTATTCAGGAGCACGTGTGGGCAATTTAACACGCGCCCAACTCGCTGAGAAAATTGTTCCCCAAGTAGGTAAGACCACTGCTTTGTTGCCCTGCTTACCCACATATTGGCCATTATGATAGGCACGCGCCTTGGTTCCCGACGTGATCTGCAAGGAAATGCTGATACGTGTGCATCACGCCTTAGGATCGTCGCAGCCAGTGGAGAGGAAAGGAATGGGCAATCGAGACTGTCAAGATTAAATTCTAGCACATGAGTGTCTGTTGATTTATTTATGTCTTCATTAATTAAGTAGATATTTACAGTCTTATGCTAGTTACTAATTGCGTCATATTGGTAATACAAAATATGCATGTAATAATAATAAACAACCTATGTTGCTATGTTCATGTTTGGCTAAACAAAATTTGTGGGGAAACTAGGAACGCGGGTTGGGCTCGGGGGCTCTCTGGTTACTATTTGTTTATGTTTAATTATGCTACAAATAATATAATAAGGCTAACTGTATTAATTCGTTAATCTTGCGTTACGTTTACTTATTCAAAAGCGAATCAATTGAAAAGTCTTTGAATTTGGCATTGCTATCATCGTTGAGCAGGTGCAGTTGCTCCGGCTGCTCCAGCTCCGGCTCCGGCTGTGATGTTGCCGCTGGTGTTGTTGGCAGCATTTTCATGAGTTTGTTTCGTGGCTTGCGCAAAAACTTTGTGTTTATTTGAAACTTTGTGGTGGGTGGCTTATGCCCTGAACTTGGCTGGGACTGGATCTGAAACAAGGCTGTAGTTGAGTCTGATGCTCCTGTTATGTCTACTATTGCCGACTGTGATGTTTGGACCGTTGGGGCAACTGCTTCCGCTGTTGCTATTGTTGGGACCGTATTGATTGTGTTGCGATAATTCTGTCGCCATGCACGCAACTCTCCTTTTCCCAAGGCTTTCGGTGCTGTAGCGTGAGTGGCTGCTACTGCTGGGGCTAGAACGTTGGTCTTAGCATAGGCATTGGGCCCAAAGCACTTGAGAAAGTTCTGCACATGCAACAGACTTTCATTCTCGTTGGTGGGTTTAGACCTTCTTTGTTGCCTGTCCTCGTTTTCATCCTCCGCCTCGTAATCCACCGACGATTGCTGCTGCTGTGAGGAGGATGAGACGGTGGACGATGAGCTACTGCTATTGCTGCTGTGCTGTGAATAATGGAAATTTAATTAGACTAATTCTTTGAACGGATTAGAACCATAAACTTACATCGTCGTCATTTTTGTCTAGCAGCTGCTGGTGAAGGCTTGGTTCTGCTGCCATCTTTAGCTCACCTTCGGTGCGTTTACTATTGTTGTTTTCGTTGTGGTTAGAGCCTCCCCGTTTGGCAAGGGATTTGGCTGTTGCTGCGGCTTCTGGCTCACTGGCTTACGGTACGACTTCAGCTGGTTTTGGCTTGGAGGTTATCGTCGCGCCTTAGCTGGGACTGGAATTAAAAGAAAATTTTAAGGACTTAGTAGGGTCTTCGTGAGGAAAGATTCTTAGTCAACATGGCTTATAGGATAACATAATATAGCTTCTGGAATTATTCTCTCTCTCATAATAAAAAAAAACAAACAATTTCCACCTGAAATGGGATATTTACAATGAAAGAAGATGGGCGCAAAGCGTATGACTTGGAATTCGTTGTGTGTTGCGTGTGTTTATTTTTTGTGAATTTCTTGTAAGGTCGCAGGATTGCCTGATTGAACGTTTGATTGATTGAATGAGTAAGAAGTGAGTGCATAGATGATGAGACATGATGCATGACGCAAATCAAAAGGTGAATAAATGCACACAGAACAGGCATTATGGCGATTATTATGAACGTCTCCATCGTCCGTGTCTGGGGACAGGTACATGCTCCCAACAATCACAAAATTCACACACACACACTGAGGAACACGCTCTTGCACACGCACTCACAACTACCTGGTGATGCGTGCTGTAGAGCGCCGCATGGTGCGCCGCATAGGAGGAAGAAGAGGTGCTACTTAAATCGTCAATGCCAACGCTGCCGCCACCCACTTGAATCTGAATGCTAGGATGTTGGTGTGGTGGGTGTGGATGTGGGTGGTGGTGCGTGCCCGTGCCCGTGCCCGATCCCGTGCCCGATCCCGCTGTTGTCGAAAAAGTAGTTGTGGTTGTCGCTGCAGCCACGGCAGTCCCTGCTGCTGACCCACCTCGTCCAATGCCTGCAACGGCAGCACCGCCTCCAGCGCCAGCTCCAAGGCTCATTCCCACGCCCAGCAAATGGGCGGCTGCCACAGCGGCGCTGGTGGCGTGATGCGATTGATGCAGGTGCTGCTGCTGTTGGACCTGCTGTGCGTGCTGCTGATGTTGCTGCTGCTGGGAAGGATGTGACGAATGCTGCGAGTGCTGCGAATGATGCTGTGATGCAGGGCGTTGCTGTTGGCGTTGATGCTGCTGCCTCCGCTATTGCTGTTTGCAGAATTGTTGTACGCCGAAACGTGTCTATAAAGTAAAGGTTTTGCTAATTAGATATCATTTCAGATGATATATTTTGGAAATGTCACACATATGCACATTCCTTCTGCAAACACTTTTAAGGTGATCTTCCTTAAAATGGAAACACTCACCTCAATCCTAAGCTGGCTGCATTGGTCATTGTCATGCCGGCAATAGACATTGGTGTAGTTGAGGTTGTTGTTCCGCTGCTAGCATTGGAGGATGTGGCTGGATTGTTGCTGCTGCTGCTGCTGTTCACGCTGTTGCCGACGATGCTGTTGCTGCTGCCGCCACTGTTGTTGGTGTTGCTGCCGCTGTTGTTATTGTGTTGTTGTTGTTGTTGCTATTACTGCTACTATTGGTGGCACTGTTCCCGCGATAGTCCAGCACACCGCTTGAACTAGCAGGCGCCACTGTGGCCGGCTGCTGATCATGGTGGGAATGGTGGTGTTAATGGCCGTAGTGGCCAGGGAAACTGCCGCTGCGATCGTTGTGGCCGCATTGAGAGCGCTAAGGTTGCTGCCAAGACCGATGCTGTTGTTGTTCGTATTGCTGCTGGCGGTGTTGGAGGCTAGTGTGGAAATGATAAGAGTTGTACAAGTTGTTGTTGTTGTGGTTGTTGAATTCATTCTGGACATTGCTGCTTTATAAGCATATTTTTAGTTAGATTGTGAGTACGCCCAGTGGGTTGTTGTTCCATCGCCAGTAGAGTTGTGTGTGCATGTGTGTGTGTTAGTGGTTATAAAGTGCGAGTGTTGTGGCGTGGAGTGTGTGTGCTCGAGTGTTGTGGTGTGCCTCTTTCCACGGCATGCAACAGACAGCAACACAACGCAATAAACTTAAGAAACCTTAGGATAATCTTCGAACCCAAGTGAGAATTAATCGAAACTTAGGAAAAGAAATTTAGAATGTTTTGTTATATTAAAACCTTTTATTCATTTCTCAAATAAATAAAATCGGAAAAAGCCTTAGCCTTAGCATATTGCGACAAAATAACTAACTAAATAAAACTTGGCCAATAAAATCA